TTCTATATTTTTTATAAGAGAATAAAAAAAATAATAAAATTCTCAGCTTTACAACGATTACATTAGGTTGGTTTAAACATAGACAAAGAATATCACAGACCCAGACACAAGTACAGTCAGAAAAGAAATTTTACTCAAATAGTAAAGTTATACAAGTTACAGAGTATGTTGATAAATATTTAAAAAAAAACGATTCCATCAAAAAAGGTAAAATAAAGATTTTAAAAAATATAGTTTAAAGTTAAGGATTTTTTTTACAATCTTTTAAAGGGATCCCTAAGTGCTCCTAACATATGATCTCATATGAAAGAGCATAAAAAAAAAATATGTAAGTTTTTTTTCTTTTTCCCTAAATTGTAATAATAAATGCATGCTAACAAAAAGCAATTGCCGAAATCACGAAAAAACAACTCCATTTTGATTTTATTTTTTCACCATTGAAACTCGATTGTTAGTCGTTAAAAATCACGTTAGTACGTCACAACAACTTTAGAATATCTACTTCGATTTTCAAGTAAAAAAAAGTTGTGATTAAATAGTTAAGTTTTAATCAAGTTTTTTAAATTAGTTTTGCAAAAACAGTATAATAGCACTCGGTTGAAAGACGTCGTTAAAAAAAAGTTATTAAGTAATAGTTTTAAATAGTTTAGAACTTATAAAAAAGTCTTACAGGGCTCGTATTAAGCGTATCGCGATCGCGATTGCTACACACACTTTTGTGATTAGTTTTTTCTTAAAAAAAATCTTTTCGCGACTCGTTTTTTTTTTAGGTTGATTAATTACTTTTTTCTAGCTTAGCATTTTTTTTAGCAATTTTTCAAAGTAATGTTTTTATTATAAAGAACGTCACACAAAATTTTTTATTCTAATTAGATAATTTGCTCTTTCGCGCGGAGATTTTCTTTCAACGTAAAACATTTTTGAATTTAAATTACATTAAATCTCTGCGTGGAAAATTTTTACAAGGTCGTTAAAGCGAAAAGTTGAAAAGTTGGTTTTTATCTTTGTTTATCAAAACTTCATGTTTAAAATAATGCTTAAAAGCGTTAGAGCAAAAAATTTACTGACTTTTATTTGCATTTTTATACTGTTTGTAAAAAAAAAACTAATAAAAAAGAATTAATATATAATTATTAATTAATATATTATTAGTTAATTCTTTTTTATTAGTTTTTTTTTCAAACAGTATAAAAATGCTAATAAAAACCAGTAATTTTTTTACTTTAACGTTTTTACGCCTTATTTTAAACATGAACTATAATTCGATTTATTAAACAAAGTTTTTTTGTTTTATCTTTTATTGGAAAACTTGAAATAGAAAAATTGAATAAAAACATCAATCATTTAAATGAAAAACTTAATTATATTTAAACTTTTATTAGTCCTTTATTCAAGAAACAATAAATTATAAAAAACGTGGTATCTAATTTTTTATTAAATTTTTGACGATGTTTTTTGATTTATTGACGATAATTTCTTCCCCCCATTACCGCACATCGGCGCGAGCTATAAGAGAGAGGGGAGAGGGGGGGAGGGAGCTATAAGAAAGAGGGGGAAGGGGAGAGAGCAAAAAAAAAATTTTTTTTTTTGCGATTAGATTTTTTTGCGTTAATTCGAGCCCTGTCTTAGTTTAATTTCTAATAAAATGTCTATTCAACCTTATCAATTTGAACCAAAAAAATATAGCAATTTAACATAAATGTTAATTTAACTAAAACATTTTATTCTTTTATCTAAACTAACTAAAACATTAATCTAATTTAACTAAAACATTATTCTTTTTATCAAGCAAAAATGAGAGTAACCGTCACTTTTGAAACCATAAAAATAACTGAAATAAATTTATTTTTTTACTAAGGAAATATTATAAATAAACTTTCATATGTCTAAGTCAATATTCATTTGTTTTTAATTGACTAAAAAGAGTTTAAAATTTGACTTCTATTCATTTTTAGCCGTGGAATTGCCCTTATAACACAAATATATAAATTAATATTATAAAAAAAAATTTAATATACAAATATATTTTCACAAAATGCTACAAAACTTATTCTTGTAAGTAATTATGTGTTAGTTGAAAAAAAAAAACGACTTTACTTTTAAATTTAATTACCAATTAATAAGTTTGCAATAATGACATTTGGTCTACTTTGTTTAATTTGACGTACTAACGTTAGTTTTTTGAGGCAGTAGAGTCAATAAACTTTGGACAAGGCGCATTTTCTTTAATCGAAGAAAAGCGTTTTTTTGAAAATTAAATTTGTTAGTGTGTGTTCATTATTACGTTTTAGAAAAAATAATATACATCAAACATTTTTTTTTTTAATGCTCTATCATATGAGATCATATCTTTATAGCACTTAGGGATCCCTTTAATATCCTTATTCGCTAAAGCATATTTTTTATTTTTTTACTTGGTATTTATATTTTAGTAGTAGTCCCTTTGAAAAACTCATTTTATAAATCTATTAATTGATGGTAAATTTGTCGTATAAGTATTTATGTCATGGTTTTAAGTTTAATATTATAAACATTGTCATTACTTTTAAATTCAATATTATTATTGTTGTTTGTTTTAGTGGAATCTAAAAAACTATACGCTGTTGAATTAACTAACGTTTCATTCGAAGATTTATCATCAAAATTCGATTACTTATTGAACGAGAGTAAACTTGATATTGAAATAAGTGAAACAATTGATCAAATATTCGATAAAAATTTATTTGAAAAGTTTATTGAAAGTATGAAGGTTGTCTATCATAATAATAAAAAAAAGGTCAAACTTACAAAAATGAATGAAGTTATTATAATGGACACAGAGGAAGAAATATTTTAATATATTTGTTTATACTTTTTTCAAGTTTTTTTATTTTTATTATTATTATTATTAAATTGAGAAATCAAAATTCGAAAAATTAAAATCATTTGATATTTTAAATAAAGTGCATTTAAAAAGTAATTTTACATTTGCGTTGTTAACCGTGTATTACACCTTTTAATATACTGGTTTCTTGAGGTTTAACATTTTCATTTCTTAAATACACGTTTTATATACAAAATTAATTTATTGATATTTGTAATACATTTTTTTATATTGTAGCTGTTACTTTTAATTTATGTTTGATATTTATGTAACACTTTATGACGAAACCAGGGAGCTTGTTATTTATTTTTTATTATTATTAACTATTAATTTATTTAATTTAATTACACGAATCTTTATGATTTGACTTGAACACAGTGGGCTTAAGCATGATCATGGTTTTTTTTGTCTCCAATTTTTTCATAGTAGATTTGAAAGGTGTTACATTTCTCAACTCAAATCTGTTAAAATTAAAACAATTGTACGGGGGTTTTTGAAAAAAAAAATTTTTGCTTTATGAATTTGTTAGTAAAAGTGCAAAAAATAACATGAACTGCTTATGCTGTCTTTACTACTTTATAAATGTTTAAATAGAAAAATTTAAATATCAATAATAAAAAACATTAATTTAGGATTAACGCAAGTAATTCTATAACAGTATTGTTCATATATTGATAATAAATGAAAAATCGCAAAATGTGAAAAAATAAATGAAAAGTATGTCATTAGTGAATATTTATGCATAATATTACAGATATATAGCAATATTTTGTAAATTATATAAAATCTGCATAACTTTTAACTAAATTAAATTAACTACAGGTTATTATAGGTCTTATTTTCTACGTCTTATTAATTTTTTTTAGTAAGTTTATTCATTTCAAAAAGCTTCGACATCCGCAGCACAAAATGACTTATTGTGTACTTATTAAATAATTTACATAAATAAGTCTACTATGTATTTTAAAAATGCGCAATATTGTATGCTGCACCAGCATTTTTTAATGTTTTTTAATGAATAAATGAGATTCCAAAATTGCTTGAAATCCTGGTGTACTGCTTCTAAAGTCTGTTCCGTCGTATAACCAAGGCCTAAATATTTTTTATATATAATAAAATTTAATTCAAAACATTTTTTAATTTGTTTAAATATAAAATAAAGTCGAAAGAATTCCCAAGTATTTACCTAAATATTCAATATTTTCTAATAGATATTTCCTGTAAAAAAAGGCTAACCATATGTTTCCTTTTTAAGGTCAATAAACTCTGCAATATGTTGTTCAGCAATATAAACTTTAACTGTTACACTGGTCCTAAGATTCTGTAGTCATCTGAGAAGTTTTTGATATCATCTTTGTAGTTTTATACAATATTTTCCCAAAACATCCTTCTATAACTTTTTTGAAAGATATTAGGGCCCTAATAAATTTGGCCCCATGAATGCCAAGACCATGTGTATAAAAAAATCTATTTAAAATATCAACTTTTTAAAAAATAAGCTTTTTAAAAAATAAGCTTTTTAAAAATACACATTTTTTTATCAGACGCTTAGATAGAAACCAAATATCTTTGCGAGTGACATCATTGGCTGGATCTTGCTTTGAGTTACTTTTTTTGAGGTGGCTATCCATTTTTTTCTTAAAATCTTTTTTATTTGTAGCTATTTTCTTACTTTTCAATAAAATTCTAGTTATAATTGACCAATAACTTTGAATAACTTGCAGCTCAGGATAATTTGAAAGATTTGCCTCCTTAAGAACAAATTCGGCGCCATTTTATTCATACCATTCAAGAGGCTTCTTGGAGTAGTGAATTGTAGCCAAATCAGACCAAAATATTGTGAGTATTTCATGCTTTTTAATAAATAGCAAAGGCGTTTTTTTAAGCATTCTTTTATATATAAATCTACGTTCAAATTTATACGAGTAATGTATGGTGTACTTTTTAAATAATAGGATAATATTGCTTAGCATATAAAGAACAAACTTTCAGTTTGAATATACTTGAATTTTTCGCAAACAAATCAACCTTTTAACTGATAAATATATTGCTACCTTGGCAGTTGTAAAATGTCCTTTTTTCAATAGGTTTCCAACTTCTCTTTCAATAAATTGAGTCTGTTTGTATCGCCACTAAATGAATCCAACTGATGATCGAGAAACAATAGCCATTTTTGAAATTTCAACTTGTGACAATGAACGATCTTGAAGAAGATTTTTTTGAACTTTTTTTTGATTTAATACTTCTTTACTTGTTTTAATCCAATAGCAGTGATAACCAATACTTATTACCATTACAATCAAAAAACAACACAATAGCTTCCCTGTGCAAAAAAATTAAAAATATTTGTCAAATAGTTTTTGAGTAATTAACGACTAAAAGGTGCTGAATTTTATCGTGTTCAATCGATATTGATGTGTTCAATCGACATTTTGTTAGAAAAATAAATAGGTAGAATTTCCAAAATTATATTCTTTCCAGCAATCATTTTTTATGATATTTTCATAATAATTTGTACTCATTTCACCATACTCCCTTGGTTTGATAAGCCTAAATTCAGGACTATCTTTCTTTTCTATAGAAAGACAGAGAAAGCACACTAGATGTATAAAATTATTGTGTTCTTTTAGTTTCATTTTTTTCTATGTTTTCTATTAAAAAATAATAAAACAATTTTAAAATAATGAGGTAGGACTGGGTGAACGTTTCCTTGGTTTCTTAGATAACGTAACTTTATATAAATCTGGTGTAGACAATAAAACGTATAGAACAGCATTAAAAATAAATATATTAATTATTTTTAAGGTATATCATAACAATTTTCTTATTGCAATGTATAGTACCAAAATACTAATATATATAAGTTGTAGATAGTATATAAATAAATCTTTATAGATAAAATAAACAACATATGTAATATGCTTGCATATTACATATTAATGTTAATAATTACATATGACTGATAATAATAAGTTACATAACATATATATATATATATATAAATATATATATATATATATATATATATATATATATATATATATATATATATATATATATATATATATATATATATATATATATATATATATATATATATATAATATAACTTATTATTATCAGTCTCTCTAATTATAGTAAGCTTGTATTTGAATTGAATGTATATATATATATATATATATATTATATATATATATATATATATATATATATATATATATATATATATAAGGTATTTGAACTTGTTTTATTTTTTGTTGTTGCTTTTTTTATAAAAAAATTCGTAAAAAGGAAATTACCTTTTATTTAAAAAAACAAACGTTTAATCATTTTAGTTATAATAGATTTAAGTTGAGAAAAATAACATCTTTCAGACCTACCATCTGAAAAAATTGGGTACAAAAATATTTTTTTATCACGCTCAGGCCCACGGCGTAAACCGTGTTTATAGTTAGACAATCTTAAAGATAACAGAAACACTAGAATACTTTGAAAGATTTACTCATATTCTTTATAGTTCATAATAAGATTTTCAAATTATTATTTTTCTAGTTGGGTTAGCAAAAGTTATATAGTTGTTTTGTTAACTTCAAAATTAAAAAGGATTTACAAGTAAATACTAAATTTTTACCCAATAAATTTTCAACTCGATTTCAATTCAAAAAAAAAATTACTCGATATCTTTGGTTAATAATAATAATAACTAAGTTTTGGGTGCTGATTCTGAAAGTCAAAGTAGTTTTTCTGTAACAGGTCTAAGTTTCTACATACCTGACACCTGATTTAATACCATTTAAGACTGACTACCCCATATATAATATAAAATATATATTAGGAAAAAAAATGAATTGTGTTTTTATACATTTTAATTCAACACTATCCATTTTATAATTTTAATACATTGATTAGACCAAATTAGATTACAAAACTGTTCATTCAATTCTATTATTGTAGTTTTGTTTACCATGAGGCCTACATAGTACACCTTTGTGGAAAATAAATGCAGTTCATCTAATTGTTTCAAATTTTGTGTTTGCTGCTATGGAACTAAAAGATATAAAGATATAAGGTATAATATATTTATAAGGTATAATAAATATTTGCTGCTATGGAACTAAAAAAAATAAAAAAGGTCCTCTAAAATTTTTGGGGGCCCCTATATTTGCGGGGTCCGGCGCTTTAGTACCCCTAAGCCAACCCCCCCCCCCCCCCACGGTATATATATATTTGCTATGGAACTAAAAGATATAAAGATATAAGGTATAAAATATTTGTATTCCAACTCTTAAACCACTGTAAAACTACCTTTGGGTTATCTAATTAAATCCACCAAATCCGTTAATAAAAACAGCTTAATTAATAGATTTAAAACCATCTGATTTTTGTTTTATGATATGTGCGCCAACTGTACTCTAAAACCAATAAAACTCGACCATGTGGTCTTCATATCGATTATAACAATTGCAAAGCAAGGGACGACAAGTAAGTTGTATCTACAAGTTTAATTATTGTAATCTTCATTTAAAAAATTAAACTTATTTTATAATTACCATGTTAATATGTTTGAATTTAATATGTTTTTGACCCAAGAATAAACATTAAGATTATTTTTTAGAAATGAGCAGCCAAGATACAGAAGGTATTCTTTTTATTTTGTATAACATTAATTAATTTTAGAGATAAAAAGAGATGATACGTCAATAATACTGAGATATTTAGCTTATTATTTTATTAAGAAATTACATTGAGATAATTTTGTATATCTTTAGGCGACGAAGAAGTTTCTGCATTTTTTCGAAGTAAGCCATTTATATATACTATATATAGTAGCAGTTACATATGTTCTAAAAATGGCGGAGCTGTACTTGATTCACGTGTGAATAAAACGATGATTTATTTTAGCCGTTTTTAATTGAAATCAACCAAGATATGCCGCCCTCCCCTAACCCCGTGAATCAAGTACACCGCACTAAAATTTAACTAAAATTAAAAAACATATAAATTAATTTTTAGAACTTTAAAAGGGTGGACCCGAAACTCAGTTTTTGTTTATTCCGCTATTTTGATTGATGTTTTTGTAAAGCAGTGAACCTTAAAAACGCGTATAAGCATTATTTAAGGTGTTTAAGCTAGAATTTTATAAAACGTGTTTAAGCTAAAACAGACTTTTAAGTCTTTTGTTAACTAAACTTTCACGTAAAATGAAACTTTTTGTCATTTACTGATTAATTTACAAATGTTAAATTATAAAACTGTGCAACAGTTTTATAATTTAAAACAAATCTTAAATGTTTAATTGAAAAAGTGAATATTTTGAAACTTAATTTTGTCTATATATATATATTAGATGTTCAAGAGATCAGAGCCGAAGAGCTCTTGCCAAGTAAGCTAACTTTGTATGAGAAGGATATGTTACAAAGATATATATTTCACCACTTTCAGCACTTTGTTAATTATAACTTTTTTTTAATGTTTAGCGGAAGTAATGGACAAGCTAAGTCAGGAATTTTTTTGTTGTTGTTTTTTTTTTTTGTGTGTGTGTGCAAATGCAGTTATGCTTTTTCAGTTTTTTTAAAGTTATTTAGCAACTGACTTTTGTCAGTTGTGACAGTTTGTCAGTCAGCAAGTGACTTTTGTAACTTTTAAATTTATTTTATTTAGAAAAATTAGAAGATTCAGTTGAGAATCTAAGTAAGCAATTTGTTATTGTTGTTGTCATGCTCTTTATTTTTTTTATTACATATTTATTTAACATAAAGTTATTCTATATATGGCAAGTTAGTTTATTTTAATGTTTATAAGTTTTTTATTTTATTTAGAAAAAGTAGAACATTCAATGGGTAAACAGAATTTGATTATATTTCATTTGTGTATTATAGATAAAGATATAGCATTTTACTTTCAAAAAAAAAGGTCTACTCTTTGGTCTTTTAGCTTTTTTGATACAATTTTTAGCATTTTTTCTATAGGGCTTATATTTCAACAACTAAGTAAGTTACTATAATGTTCTTCTTTATTTTTATTTTTTATTTTTTTTTGTCATTTTTTTCTTTTTTTTTTTTTTTGGTTGTTTTGTTTTGTGATTGTTATTTTTGGCTTTTGTTTTGTTCCAACTTTATTTATAGATTTCCTAAAATTGACAAATATTCTGCATGTTAGTTTCTTTCTTAATGTTAATGAGTTTTTTTTTTTGTATTCTATTTAGAAAAATTAGAAAATTCAATTGGTAAACAAAGTTCACTTATGTTTCATTTTGTTTGATTTTAACACACATTTATTGATGTTTGTGTGTGGTTTTATCACTTAAAATAAACTGTTTAATTGATTAGTATATGTTAGTTTATGTTAGGGTTGTTAACCGGAGGATATCGTGCAATTCCGGAAAAACAACATTCTTTCGTAAGGAGATTGAGAACGAGGAATTACATTTTTTCGTACCGAATGTTACAAAACATTTAAAATCGCCGATGTTCATTTCGCAAAAGCCACTTCCGAAATTTAGCATTTCGCAAGTTGACATACGAAACAAAACTATTTTGCAACATACGAAAGTAGCGGATTCGGAAGTCGCACTTGCGAAACAAACATTTTCGCCAAACGACGTTTTGAAGTCTGTAAAGAAAATTTGTTTGCCAGACTGATTTTAATTGTAAAAATTAACATCTTTAAATCCCAAAATGTTTATAATGAATTTTTATTTTCAGTATAATAACATATTAAATTTTTATGGTTTTATTTTTAGAAATATTGATAAAAAATAAAATTTCTTTCGAAACGAAAGTATTTTGGATCACAACATACGAAAGAATTCTTAACGGAAATAAACTTACGAAACGTGCCATAATAAATATATATAACGATGTTTTTTGAACTCATTACGCATATTAAAAATAAGAATGATAGGTAGAAATATACATGTTTTTTTTTTTAAAGCATATGAAATTTTTGAAACAGGCTCGAATATGCTTAAGCAAATAGTAAAAAGAGGCTCAAAAATATGCTTTAGCTTAAGCATATTTCTGATAAAATATACCTATTTCAATAATTTCTAAAAGTGTGCACGTTACTAAAGTTCTAGCAGATTTTAAAGGTATGTAGAGTCTTGTTTGAATACGCTTTTCGAAGTATAGATCTTAGAAAATATCGTTTTTTAATTTTAATAAGATATAAATTTAAGTATAAGATCGTATAGTTCAATCAGTTAGATACGTGATAATTCGCCGCAGAGATCCGGGTTCGCACCCCGCAGCCATTGTAACTTTTGTTCATCAAACTCTTTTTACTTAAGATAGTATTTTTTGACCTCCATGTTCTATATTAAAGATCTTTCGTCACCTTCACAATAGTGACAACCTCTCTTCTGTTAGTTATTCTTTTAAGATTGAGTTCATTGTGCTTAATTCAACACGTTTCCCTTGCTTTACTAAGTTCTACTTAAATTATGATGAAATGTACGTAAAACAACCTTTTCAAATAAAATAAATCATTTTGCTTTAAATCTTGTGCTTTTTGTACTAGACATCTGTCCTAAACACTTTGTAATAATTTCTAGCTAACTCTGAGTCTAATATAATCATTTCTGAATATAATTTCCCTGAGGCTCCTACAGCCTATTCTGTTCCATTAAAAGTAACTATTTTTTGAGTCCAGATATTATTTATAAGCAACTAAAGGTTCACATTACTATTCATTTTCCTGATATATAGAATTCTATTTGCATACGTATCTCTTTCTGTAAATTCTATTTTATATAGTTTCTTAATTATATAATAAATAAATATTACTATTCACTTAGTTGAATGAACGTATAGCTCATTAAGTTAAGACATATGGCCGCGAAGACCCAGGTTCACATCCCGCTTTTTCACATATGATTCTTCTCTTTTTACTCTTTCTGATATCATTTACCTTTAGAGAGATCTCTCGTTCTTTATAATAAAGTATTTAATTGTTTATCACACATCCTCTTTATACTTTTTAAAAAGAAAGGCATACTGTTTATCTGTTCATTGAGAGTCAAACTTAACGGGATTTTACTGTATGTATATGTATATATATACATATATATATATATATATATATATATATATATATATATATATATATATATATATATATATATATATATATATATATATATATATATATATATATATATATATATATATATATATATATATATCTATATATATATATATATATATATATATATATATATATATATATATATATATATATATATATATATATATATATATATATATATATATATATATATATATATATATATATATATATATATATATATATATATATATATATATATATTAGGTATATTTGTATAAACATTTGAAGAATCATTTGACAACATTTTTTTATAATTTAATTTTTTATTATTTAAACTGTTAACAGTTAATATCTTAAATATATCGTGACATAAAATCTTTTGCGTCTTTTTCGTAACTGCACATTCCGGAATGCTTTTTCCGTAAGGAACTATTTCGTAAGTATTCTTACGAAATGATTTGTTTCGCAAGTTTTCTTTCGCAATGCTTTATTACGGAATTTTATTTATTTATATTTTCGTATTGCGCGTTACGGAATGTGCATTTTTGCATGTGCAACTTCCGCAATAACAATTCTATTACGGTAGATAAAGAAGCGAAATTTTCGCAAGTTTTGTTTTTCGGCGAACAACCCTAATTTATGTAAATATATTTTTTACCTCCACTATAGCGTCATCTACAGTACCATCAGGTAATGTGTTTTGCATTCTTATGCAGTTTTAAGAGTGTTATGTGTGTTAAAACTTAAAGATAGCATATCTTAATTTACAGAATACGTTATTTATTTATTTTTTTGTCTCTACATTAACACCTCAAACAATAATATCAGGTAATCTGTTTAGCATACTTATGCAGTTTTTTGGGTTTTATGTGTAATGAAACTTAAATATTTTTTTTTTTCATGTTTCCATGCGATTACATAAATGTTTAACATATGTTACTTCATACACTTTTTTTTTTTACTTTCACAATAGCATCAATATCATCTGCAGTGCCATCAGGTAATGTGTTTTGCATACTTATGCAGTTTTATGAGTGTTACAAGTATTGAAACTTAAACATTACTTATTTCATGTTTGTTATCAATTACATAATGGTTTAACATATGTTATTTTATACACTTTTTTTTTTTTTTACTTTCACAATAGCATCAATTTCATCTGCAGTGCCATCAGGTAATGTGTTTTGCATACTTATGCAGTTTTATGAGTGTTATGTGTATTAAAACTTAAACATTACTTTTTTAATGTTTGTTATCAATTACATAAATGTTTAACATATGATACTTTATACACTTTTTTCTTTTTACTTTCACAATAGCTTCAATGTCATCTGCAGTACCATCAGGTAATGTGTTTTGCATACTTATGCAGTTTTATGAGTGTTATGTGTATTAAAACTTAAAGATTGCATATCTTATTTTGCACATCACTTTATTTATTTAATTTTTTGTCTCTACATTAACACCTCAAGCAATAATATCAGGTAATCTGTTTAGCATACTTATGCAGTTTTATGGGTTTTATGTGTATTGAAACTTAAATATTTTTTTTTCATGTTTTCATGCAATTACATAAATGTTTAACATATGTTACTTTATACACTTTTTTCTTTTTACTTTCACAATAGCATCAATATCATCTGCAGTACCATCAGGTAATGTGTTTTGCATACTTATGCAGTTTTATGAGTGTTTTGTGTATTAAAACTTAAACATTACTTTTTTCATGTTTGTTATCAATTACATAAATGTTTAACATATGTTACTTTATACACTTTTTTTTTTTTTACCTTCACAATAGCATCAATATTATCTGCAGTACCATCAGGTATTGTGTTTTGCATACTTATGCAGTTTTATGAGTGTTATGTGTATTGGAACTTAAACATTACTTTTTTCGTGTTTGTATGCAATTACATAACTGTTTAATATGTGTTTGTTTATATACTTTTTTATTTATTTCAGCAATAGCAACAGTATCAACTGCAGTACCACCAGGTGATGTGTTTTCCATACTTATGCAGTTTTTCCATACTTATGCAGTGTTATGTGAATTGTTATTATATGTAATGCTAAACATTACTTTTTTCATGTTTGTATGCAATTACATAACTGTTTAATATATGTGTTAGTTCATATTTTTTATTTATTTCTATAATAGCAACAATATCTGCAGGACCATCAGGTAATCTGATTTGCATGCTTATGCAGTTTTATGGGTGTTATGTGTATTTGTGTAGGTATATATGAAATTTAAACATTGCGTATCCTTATTTTTACATTACTTTATTATTATTTTTTTTTTTTGTCATAACTTTTTTTTTTAAGTCTAAATAGTTTTAAATAATATTTTTATTGGTTGTTTGTGCAGTATTGTATTCAAATTTATTTCTTTTTTTGCTTTTGTTTTTTAGCATTGCATCAAGATTTCCTGCGATATTGCTCCCAGCACCCAGGTCCGATATCTCAAAGGGCTTTCTACCGGTGGTGTCAATATGGGGGAGATGATCCCTCCTTTAGATGGAGAAGACAAGCCCCATATGACACCATTGGTAGAAGGAGGGGTGCTGGGAAGCAGTTCAACTCTTTTATTTTCTACCAGTAGCTTTTTTAAGCTACTGGTAGAATTATCTTTATCTTTAAATATAAAGAAAATAGACTTTTTAAAAAAATGTTTTTTTTAATTTTGCAATTTTTTATTATTTTAATTTTTATACTTTCAATATTTTATTTTTTTGATTTTTAATTCTGTTTTTAAATCCTTAACTTAAAAAAGAACTCTTATGTTATAAAAATTTTTAATAATTTGTCTATAAGTTTTTTTATTAATTTACGTTTTTAGATCTTTTTATCTTTATTTTTAATTTTAATAATACAAAATTTTCTTTTGTATTAACTTTTATTTGTTAAGTATTATATAGTTTTTGAAAGATTTGGTAAATATATTTAAAATTTTTCTTTTTCTATGATATCTGTTTAATATGTCTAATATATGCACTATACACCTATTAATCTCTTTACATTATTCTCTTTAGATATATTATAAAATAGTATTTAAAATCAGTTGTCAGCCACATGTGGTCTATATGATGCAACATGTTTGCAATTGCTGGCATGTCATTTTTAATTTAGTATTATTAAAAATAGTTTAGTGTTATTAAAATTAATTTGTAACTAATTTTGCTTTTTAATATTACCATTAATATGACTTTTAAAATAATAAAATTGTTTATTTGTTTCAAAAAACACTGTTTTATTACTTACAATATAGTATGTTATTACAAGATACTTCTGACTTTTTCTCTTTTTCAAACCAGTTTAGTTATAATTTTTGTTCACAAATTTTATTAGACCCTTTACACATAGTTTCATAGGTTTAAACTGATAAATAGCACTTTATTGTTTTTGTTCATTTTAGATTAGTATAGCAAAAAATTAATCAGATATGCGTTTATATATCTTTATTTATATTTATGTGCTTAAGTTTATATAAGTTTATATTAAGTTGTTTCCATGTGAAAAGTGATGTTACTTGGCAACGTGTAGTGCAAGATTGTGATTCTTGCTAGCCAAGCGGTGTTACTAATTAGTGGTGTTACTTGGCACTTAATGCCAAGCGGTGTTACTAAATTGTGGTGTTACTTGGCAGCGTTTAGTGCCAAGCGGTGTTACAAGTGTTGAGCTAGATTGTGTTGTCTAGCTTTTTAAATTATTCTGGAAACACATAATCTGAATATTTTGTGTTATGTGCAAATATTTTATGCTATGTGTATTCAGTAGCATAGGCAGGGTCTTTTGATGCTTCAGATAGCACTTTCAACCAAACTTAAGTGTATTCACGTTTATAGAATTAAAATACTTTGCAAAAAATTGATGTTGTTAAAGCTTAGGAACAAATGTTTAAAAAAAGTGTTTTTCCTAACCTGAATTTTTTTAGACATAACAAAGTTAAACTCTTCAACAACTTCTAAATATATATCTGAAACAACAAAAATCCCGCCTACACTACTGGTTTTATTGTTTGTCATCCTGTAATGTTGTTGTGATGTTTTGTGTTGATAGAAAGCTTGGCTTACCTTCACGTTGGTGTCTATCGTTAAAAATGATTATTGGGTAGCTTCATTACTGAAACTTACTCCGAATCATTCACTAAAAGCCAAGAAATATTTTAAGAAAAAATGCCGAATTTTTTTGTGTCAATAAGAATTTTTATCTTTAGCAATGCTGATAAAACTGAATTTTTTAAAAAAAAGAGTATTTCCAGCCTTCTAACCAAATATTAGAGACTTTTACAAAAGCACTCTCACAAAGTAAGTGTTTAATATTTATTTAATATTACTAAATTTCGTTTCGTATTTTTCATTTTTCAAATGAATTAACATAAAACAAATAAATGTGCATTCAGTGTTATCAATAATGATTTTATTTCATTTTTAGATAATGCTTTTATAATCAATTTAAAAGTCTTTCAAATCTTTAATCATTTTCTAAAGGCGAAAAAGAAGAATCATCAATCTTCATACCATTTAATAAAGCTATTTTAATAAAACGCAATACAAATTGTTGTAAATTAGTTATTGAATAATTTTCACGTTGTTACCTTATTTTCCAGTTTCCTATCACTTTGTATTGAATTAACTAAATCCGATATTACAGTTCCTTATATCAAGTACTTCACATTTTCTGTTTTTGTTTTATGCAGAAAAACAGATCAAGTTAATTTATTTGACTTGCCTAGCTACTTATTTTACTCGCCTAGCCACAGTGAGTGTGCATGAATCAACAGAGGATTTGGGTTTGGGCAGGTTGTTTTGAACTAAATGATTTACCTTCTTCATTTTAAGCTCTAAATATAAATATACGGGAAAGGTGCATATGTGAATTTTTTTTTTCCAACACATAATCTATTGTTCACTAAAAATTATTAGAGGGAGAAATAGAGATAAGGTTAATGTGGAATAGAATCTGTCCTTTTAAGTGAAAAACTGTTTTATAATCTATCTTCTATATAATAATGCCGAACTTAATAGTAGTGTTAGTAGAAAGAGTCGCAGCACTTTTTTTATAAAAAAACGTGTATGCAAATATCTAACGTACGTAATTAAGTAATGATAAAACATGCTGAAACATTTTTCAAGTTTTATAGTTTGACTTTGACTTAAAAATTGCATTGCGTCAACCTCTCCTTAATTTTTGATCTACAGCAATTCCGTTAAAAACAATTTATATATATTTTTAAATTTTCGATATTTGATGTGTCAGCATGGCCGAGTGGTTAGCGAGCTAAGCTTCTGAACGTAAAAGTCGTGGTTTAAATTTACCACTAGCGATTTATTTCTTAGAATCTTTAAATTACAAAATATTTGTGAAGTTAAACAAGTTAAATGTTATACACTTTAACTGTTTTTTCTTTTTAAATTATATGAATTTTTTGGATTTCTAAAAACACCAATAAACGGGGCGAAAATTTGTTGCGTGTGTGTCATGACTTTTATTATTATTATTATTATTATATTTTCTTTGCCGTCTAATTAAATTTACAATGAGAAAAAACCATTCATGTATAAAAATTGGCCGGAGCAAGATAAAGACATAAACTGTCTTATCGCCAAGCCCCGTTTACATTAACGTCACAAAGTTACAAGTTAAAAACTAAAAGGTTAAAAATTGAAGTACAATACAATATTAGTTCTACAAATATAAGACACAAGTAATAAATCGAATAAATGTTATTTGTCTGTTCAAAATTAATAGTATATATATTTTTTATTTTAATAAGAAATAAACAAGATACACAAGACAATAGTAAATGAGTAGTGATGACTTTTTCAGGTTTAATTATTTTAGGTAATTTTAGAAGAAATCTTTAAAATCGAAAGTTTTTTCTAATAGAAAACGTTTAGATTCTCTTTTGAATTGTTTTAAGGAGATGCCTCGAAGAATTTTATTTTTAATTATATTTTTTAAAAAACCTTTCCAAATAAATGGTCCCCGGTATTGAATTTGAAATGAATTGAGTTTTAAATAAGATCTTGGAATAACAAAATTATCAGATGAAAATTTAGTGGGATATTTATGAGATATTTCGGTAAAGTAAGACTGAAATATATTAGGAGATAACGCATGTTTTGTTTTAAACGTGAATAGCATAACTTGGTATATATTAAGTTTGTAAATATTAAGCACATTAAGTTTCTTTAAAAGAGATTCACCATTAACAGTTCTGTTAACGCCAAAAATAATCCTACAAGCATGTTTTTGTTTGCTATAAATTTTTTTGAGCTTCCCATACTTGGTACTTGCCCATGCAAGATTACAATAGGAAAGATAACTATGAATAAATGAGAAATATATAATTTTTAAAGATTCCGTATTAAGAAAAGGTTTAACTTTATATAGCATTGAAATATTTTTGGAGATTTTGTTTTCAATAGATCTAATATGATATTTCCATGATATATTTTCATCTAATATCACTCCTAGAAAGTTAATAGTTGACTCTCTTTTAATAACTTTTTTGTTCATAAAGAGATCAGGTAGTTTTAAAAAAAGGTTATCACCTTTACTAGGTTTGTGGAACAACATAAATTTAGTTTTCCCAACATTTAATGAAAGTTTATTATTTGTAATCCATTCATTTATTTTTAATAACTCTTCATTAAAAGTTTGATACTGTTCTCACATAATTGGTCCTAATAAGCTACGGATAGTTTTTAAAAAAAAGGTCCTAAAACCTAATAAGGAAAGAATTTGATAAAACCGTCCTGCTACTCCACATGGTATTGCAGTAGAGGCAGTGAAAAAAAAAGCAATTAAAAGGTTTTTTATTATATTTAATTTTTTGCTATAAATATAGCCAGATTAAAAAAATTAAAAAAAAATTATTGAGATTTTTTAGGCGCGGATTTGAAGCCTTGCACAGCGACTCTGATGACTGCGCACTTAACTTGTGAGCTATGCAAGTTATGCATGTAGTTAGGCGCTTCAACATTTTTTTAAAAATGTAAAATGAAAACAAAATAAATACCATAAGTAAGAGCTAAATAATAACGTTTAAAAATTACCAAACTTTTTGTTATATTATTATTAGTTTTTCAACTTTTAAACCACAAAATTTTTAATTTATTTTTTTGCATTACTTTTGACGCTTTAAGTGACTAACGTTTTAAAAAATTACATTACCGTTTCCGTCTAATACAAAGGTAACTATAAAAGACCGTTATTATTCAAAACTAAGCATATAATAATAATAAATATAGTAAATAGTAACTATTGAAAATGGTTAGGACGCGACCATAAACCATGGTCCATGGCTGGTCTAAAAGTAGGAAAAAGTTTAGTTCAGAGTTTAAAAAAAAATAAAAAAATAAACGGGGTTTAATAAGCTATATACGTATGCGGAAAAAGTGCGTATGTTAAAGTTTTTTTTTGCTCTTAAAGCAAATTTTTTTATTGAATTTTTTTCCACTGTTTACTAAAAAATATTGTAGTAAATAAGGAACAAGTAAAGAAATGATTGGCGTGGAATAGATAAATATAGAAGTTGAAGAAAAGACCTGTATTTACCGATACGGACAGCTAGATTCAGAAAATAAGGGAAAAGGTTTGTGTGGAATAGACTTACAAAGACCCGTATTTTTACGGGTCAATTCAGCTAGTATGTATTTATTGAGTTAAAAAA